CCACCGCCATCTCCATCTCCATCAGTTGGTTCCAGCGCTCATGAGTTAGGAGCAGTGCTGGTCCACTACAGAGAGAAGCCAAGGCCTCACACCTTCTGGGATCAAGAAGGTGCTACAGAGGAAAACACAGCGACTGTAAGGTTGCAGCCTCTCCCCATCCACAGCCACAGGCCTAAGAGCGAGCCAGGGAAGAGGAGAGCAGCAGGTAAGTTCAGAGGGGCTACATCCTTCATGGGCCATGGGAAGGATGCAGAGATGGGGGCCCCTCCAAGCATACGGTGAGGACGTTTAGGGACAAAGGAGGTTGGGGAGCACAGCCACATGTGCAGTGTGTGTACATGTATGTGCAACATCTGCATGTGCGTGTAGTGTTGTGTGCAGCGACTGCACCTATGCAGTGTGTGTACATGCATGTAATATTTGTACAGCCAGTGTACCTATGTAGTATGGGTATACATGTGTAGTATTTGCATGTGCATGCACACATGTGGTGTCTGCATGTGCACATGTGAGTGACATGACCACAGTTGTAGAAACTCTACAGTGCCTCAGTGGCATTCTAGAAGGAAGCTCCCTTACAAGGTGGCTGTGGCAGCTCAGGTGGGAGGGGATAGCCTTTTACATGGGGGAGTGTCATGGGGAGGGAGGGAAGAAGTTGGGGTGGGGCAGGACAGGCTGTGAGGTGGAAGAGTCGGTGTCCAGGAGTCATCTGGGCTCTGGCTGGAGCCACAGATAGTGAAGAGTCGGAGGTCACAGGAGGGCATCGGGGATCGCAGGCCTGGAAGCTGCTGCCACATGCTCCAAATGTGTGTACCATGGACCCACCAGGGAGGCCCAAGCCTCCTCCAGTGTGGAACCCACTGGCCACAGACTCCCAGGCCAGCTGGGGGGCCACAGGCAGCACTGTCCCACAGGCCCGAGGCTCCATTCGCCTGGCTGTTAGCTGTGGTTTCCACATGCTGAAGAAAGCCCAGAGTATACTCTTGGCTTTCTAGGGAGGACCTGTATGCCCAAGAATATCTCCCAACTCTCCCCCAAAATTCTCCAGTCTCTCAAAAGGCAGTTCTCATAACCTGAGGCAAATCTGGGCTGATGCCACCCTCTCAGAAAGCAAATGTGCCCATGCACCAGGCGTTCACACCCACCTGTGAGTGGATACCATCTGTGGCCTGCTCCTCATACCTTCCTGGGATGTCTGGGCCCTCCAGCCTGGCAGGGAGGAAGAATACACACGGCCCTGCTGCCAAGGCAGATCAAGGCGGGATTGGTGTGGGAGTGGAGAAGCCCCTCTTCAGCGTCCCTGAGGACCAGAGAGAGGCCCAGGGAGGAAGAAGAGAAGAGGGCCCCAGCACCAACACCAGCTCCCTGCAACAAGCCAGAGCCTGCAGCAGGCTGCAAGACATACACACGCCTACTGCACGCCAGGCCCTTTTCTGGACCCCATGGGAAAGACAAGGTGGACATGGGCCAGTCCTTGTGGAGCTTAAAGCCTGTTCCTGAGACAGACCTTGACCAAGTGAATAGTGGGGTCTTAGCAGGGAGGTGCAGGGAGGGCTTCCTGCAGGAGGTAGCATGTAAGTGGAATGAGGGGGTAACCAGGCAACCAGACATAAAGTGTGCCCCCATGGTGGGGAGGGCAGTACATGGGAAGGCCTTGACCTCTCCTTGCCCCCAGCTTGGATCTTCCCCGTGAGGACGAGCCAGTGTTTTACATAGACAGTGATACAACCCATTTGCACTTTGTAAAGTTCTTTCTAGAATGCCACTGGAGGCCAGTGAAGGTCAGGAACCATGGGATAGAGGTTGTTGGAGTCTTCTTGCAGAAAGGCCACAGTACCTGGACCAGAGTGGAGGAGACAGAAGGAAGAAATGAGAGGAATGGGGCTGAGGTAGCCTTAAGAGGACTATGCAAAAGAACAGGTGGAGTTGAGGAGGATGTGACCACGTGGACAAGGACGGAAGCTTGAGGAAAGGATGAGCAGTGAGTGTGGCTTCTCCCCTGGTCTCTGAGTCTCCATTTGTAAAATGAGCAAGCTGGACAGACTATTCACCAAGTCCCTCCTGGCCGTGAATCCTCCCTGCGAGGCCATGTAGACACATGTCCGACAGCCACAGGGAAGGGCTCAACCCCCGCCCCCGCCCCACACAAGCACCAACCTCTCCTTTTAATTAGACATTCAGCCGTCGCCACCGCAGCCTGTCCACAGCCAACGAGTGCCCTTTCTGCATGGATGACTCACCAGGATTAATGCTCATTTGATTTTTACTATAAATTACGCCTCACATAATTTCTCCATTAGGGGTGGAGATGGCCTCTCGGCAAGGCTGCAGCGGCCAC